GTGGACTCAATTTGCACTATTTCTAGCAGTCTTCAAAGGCCCTCAGTCCACCCATCTGGAAGCAACAAGGAGGCTGACCAGGATGCTGTCAGCATGCCATAACTCCTGGAGGCCTCTCCCATCATTGAATGGCACATAGACTCCTTCAAAACTCGAAAACAAAGTGGTTAGACTGGGACAACCCAAAACTGAAGTCCTTCTGATTGTCCTGGTCCACCAACCATCGGTGGTAAGTAGACCAGAGTCTTTCTCTTCCACATCAGCCTTATCTACTCCTCTGGGACCATTGGCCTAGTAGCTCCAAGCCTGGGGCTGACAGTAAGAGTTACTGCACTGGAATGGCATGAACCTTAGTGATGCCATCAGTTAGTAGTGCATAATTAAAGCATATGCAAATTCAAAATTTGAGCAGGCTTCAATTTCATTTGTCATTAAACCAAAATACTCTCTTTTCTCCATGGATGGCCCCTCTCATGGGACTGACGTGAGTTTCCAGGCACAGCATCAACTTTCTTCTCACCTGCTCACTAACCACAAAGTAATGTGGGCAACAGTATTAGCAATTAACACATTCATGTGTGTCCCATCATTTAGCAGCAGTATTCTGTAATACATTGTGATAAGCAAATTCAACTCTCTTAACCATAGCAGGAAAGCTGAAAGACTCAGCTCTTGACAATTCTAAACCAACAGTCCAAGTTCATCTACTTCCTTACTCATTTCATCCTCTCAGAAAGACACTGAAGCCTCATTCCCACTATGATTTAAGTGAACTGAAGATCAGGTTGTATGACCATCATTCCCACTTCAAACTGGCTCCGATTGTGTTGAGCTCAGTTGCAATTGCAATGAAGCAAAGCAAATGCAAAACCCCTACTATTTCCTGACACTAGATCTTTGGAGGTTCTTTTGAAAAGAATAGTTTCTTAAGCATGTTCAACAAATGGGAACAACGGATCTGAATCAGATCATACTGGAAGGGAGGGACTAATGGCAGAGGGGTGTATACCATCCCAACACAGTTTTTGGGAGATCTGCCATTCCCCCCCCCCTTAAGTGCTGCCTTTGTTCTTGTGTGACCTATGGGTACTATATATATACCGAATTATCAACTATATGATCTATTGTTTTTGCAACTTGACAGCATGCCCAGTGATCAGGCTGAGGGTAGCTCAGTGAGACAAGTAGTTGCAAAACCAATGAATTGAATCTTCTATCAATTTTTTTTTTAAAAAAAACATGTTCCCAAGACAGGTTGTTCAAAGGGGAAATGGTGTACTTTTGAGCAGCCTACTAAAGTCACCCCACTCTGGCCTCATCCTCACTGTGTTGCCACTTGTGTCAC